GTCCTAACTCCTAAGGGCGCTACGACGGTACGACCATTCAAAACTTTTCAATTTACATACAGCACATACTGTAGATCTTCAATATCTGAATCTTGGAGAGAGCTTCAACACTACATCATGATAGCATGAGTGTCAGTCAGTGAATTAGATGTGGGCTGAAATCTAAAGGTTTCTTTTCATCCTCTCTTGGTTCTTCAGGAGCTGCGTGAGCTGCAGGGCCAGATCAAGGACACCTCTGTGGTGGTGGAGATGGACAACAGCCGTAACCTGGACATGGACTCCATTGTCGCTGAAGTGCGCGCCCAGTACGAGGACATCGCTAACCGCAGCAGAGCTGAGGCCGAGACCTGGTACAAGCAGAAGGTAAGCCAAGTCCAGGTTTCAAGAGCAAGATCAAAAGACATGAACATAGTTTACCAGAACACGTTCATGTAAAATAAGCAACCTTCCTCAATCTTTACCGCCCTCCTTTTCATTCTCTTATATTTCCTCCTGTCTTTTCTCAGTATGAAGAGATGCAGAGCTCTGCTGGACAGTATGGTGAGGACCTCCGCTCAACCAAGACTGAGATCGCTGAGCTGAACCGCATGATCGCTCGTCTCCAGAACGAGATTGAGTCCATCAAGGGACAGGTGAGGGTGCCATCTCATTACAGAACCTCCTTTGAGATGATTGACCATAAATGCCTGATGTCCAAGCAAGATCGTTCATAACACTAGCATATTACCATTAGCCGCTAAACATTGCTTAAACAGTGGATAAAGGCTAATGCTAATGAGCGGTTTGCTTACAATAAATGAATAAATGTTCTCTTAACACAGCGGGCCAGCCTTGAGGCTCAGATCGCTGAGGCAGAGGAGCGCGGTGAGCTGGCAGTGAAGGACGCCAAGCTCCGAATCAGGGACTTGGAGGATGCTCTCCAGAGAGCCAAGCAGGACATGGCCCGCCAGGTGCGCGAGTACCAGGAGTTGATGAACGTCAAGCTGGCCCTGGACATTGAGATCGCCACTTACAGGAAGCTGCTGGAGGGAGAGGAGAGCAGGTGAGTGAAAGTGGAAGCTGGATAGTTGAGATGTTAGCCTCTTAGCTTAGCATGTTAGCAATGCTACTTAGCATATTTTTCAACTTTCTATCCAAACTTCTTTAACACTGCTCTTATCTGTTCACAGAATATCCTCGGGTGGTGCATCTGCAACAATCCACGTGCAGCAGAGCTCTGGCGGCAGTAAGTACAATTTTGATTTCATTTCTCATTGTGTCACCATGTAAGACATAGGTCTGCTCTTCACACTTCAGCTTTAGAACCTTTTCCGTTATTTTAAGTAATACACACCGAGCTTGACATGCATCAATGAAACCAGAATGTCCTCTAGCTTTACAGCAGATTAAACAGATCCCACTCTCTCTCTGTACCCAGACTACTCCAGCGCAGGCTCAGGTGGATTCGGCTATGGCGGCGGCAGCAGCAGCTTCGGCGGCAGCAGCAGCTTCGGCGGTGGCAGCAGCTACGGCGGTGGCAGCAGCAGCTACGGCAGCGGTGGTGGTGCCACAATCACCAAGTCCGTGACATCCACCAGCTCCAGCAGACGTTTCTAGAGACCTTCAACTCTCCTCCCAAACCAGACCCGTACCAATCCACGGTGCTATGCAGTACTGTTAGACATACACAGCTATATCCCTATTAACGTAAAGTGACGGGGGGAACATCTAGCGAACCTGATGATTTACAGTCGGTGACCTGTATTTACGTTTAGTTTTCAATCCCTCCCAAGACAGAAAAAATGTGAATAGGGAAGTTGAATTATACTGCCTTGGTAGATTCACTGGAAAATAATGAAAGTATCACTGTGTTATTTCAGGAGCAATAGCTGTTCTCCCCTGTATTCTTCACCATAATTGACAGGACACCAATAATGTACAAGTGCCAGTTCCTCACAAGGCCAAAATGTATATCCTTCTGCACTGATGTTTAAGGAATAGAACAATTAAAATAGAATGTGGGAAAGCGTAAACCAACCATAAAGAAAGCTTGCTAAGGATCCTCTCTGTACCTTTGTCAGCTTGTAGGTTGCATCTAAATGTATCAGTGGTAGTTGGGCATATTGTTCTAGCGTCATACTCATAGACGGCAGTGCCATGGTCATAATCAATGAACTTTGGGCACTTGCTGATTTGGCAGCTGAATGGAGAAAACCATTGTGGTGCTATGAACAAGTGATGCCTTCACATTCCTTTAAGGTGATTTATGTATGCTATGAAAGCGATTACATCATGTGCCACAGGATGCTGCTGAGGGGAGGACAGCTCATAATAATGGCTGGAATGGAGTGAATTGAATGGTATCAAACAAATCGAAACCATGTGTTTGATGAGTTCCATACCATTACATTACTATGAGCCCGTCCTCCCCAATTAAGGTGCCACCAACCTCCTGTGGTGTTGCTAACAAATGACCTGTCTCTTTCATAGTGTACTGAAGTAGAAGGAACTGTAGTCAAGCTTCACTCACATAACTCTAAAGGACATACATGTTTGTCAGAGGTGTACATTTTAGAGAGGTTTCCTGTTACTAGTTTTCTTCTAAACTTGGTTTTGCTTTTCATTACCATTAGAAGGATATAATGTGTTTTCAACAATCTACATAATTTGTGACAAATCAAAAAGAACTAATTAAATACATTTGAGATCTAAAATCACTGTCTCTAGTGTGTGAAATGTTTGCCTTCTTTCTGAATGTTGTGTACTTCACATGCCTCTCTGGCACCATCTATCTTACCTTTTTTAATCAAACTTCAATTTTGAGCATTCTGGAATTTCTGATAATTAAACTCCATTAAACTTATATTAATTTGTATTTATATTATTAATAAGAGTCTATTGACGCACCCATACGTCAATTTTAGCAACATAATAAAAACATCACCATCAAAATCCATCAATTTAAACTAGATATATATATATCTATGTTTGTTGTTGTATTTTACCCCCCTTTTTCTCCCCAATTTTGATCTTGTCTCATCACTGCAATTCCCCAACGGGCTCCAAAACATGACCCGCCAAACCGCGCTTCTTAACACCCTCCCGCTTAACCTGGAAGCCAGCCGCACCAATGTGTTGGAGGAAACACCGTTCACCTGAAGACTGAGGTCAGCCTACAAGCGTCCGGCCCCCCACAAGGAGTCGCTAAAGCGCGATGAGCCAAGTAAAGCCCCCCTGGCCAAACCCTCCCCTAACCCGGATGACACTGGGCCAATTATTGGACTCCCGATCAAGGCCAGTTGTGATACAGCCCAGGATCGAACCCGGGTCTGTAGTGACGCCTCTAGCACTGCGATGCAGTGCCTTAGACCGCTGCCCCACTAGGGAGGCCCTAGAGATATATTTTTTGCATGGGCTGCATCTCAATCCACCACATCCGCCTATGTTGGCCTTCCGAATCTGTGGTGGAAGGTGCCTAGCAGTGTTTGTCAGATCATGAGACATCGGCTGTGGCATCCGAATGGTTTGGCCTACAAATTAATATGACCACTCTATGGAAAGATGAGACTCTCACGGCCACAAGTGTCACAGGACTGTCTGAAGGTAACCCGGTACTGGTTTAAATAATGAATGGAAGTATGGAGGTAGTTTTGTACCAACTAAAAAAATGCTTTTTTTTATTTCCTGAGCTTTATTACAGTGAGGGAAAAAAGTATTTAGTCAGCCACCAATTGTGCAAGTTCTCCCACTTAAAAAGATGAGAGGCCTGTAATTTTCATCATAGGTACACGTCAACTATGACAGACAAAATCCAGAAAATCACATTGTAGGATTTTTTATGAATTTATTTGCAAATGATGGTGGAAAATAAGTATTTGGTCAATAACAAAAGTTTCTCAATACTTTGTTATATACCCTTTGTTGGCAATGACACAGGTCAAACGTTTTCTGTAAGTCTTCACAAGGTTTTCACACACTGTTGCTGGTATTTTGGCCCATTCCTCCATGCAGATCTCCTCTAGAGCAGTGATGTTTTGGGGCTGTCGCTGGGCAACACAGACTTTCAACTCCCTCCAAAGATTTTCTATGGGGTTGAGATCTGGAGACTGGCTAGGCCACTCCAGGACCTTGAAATGCTTCTTACGAAGCCACTCCTTCGTTGCCCGGGCAGTGTGTTTGGGATCATTGTCATGCTGAAAGACCCAGCCACGTTTCATCTTCAATGCCCTTGCTGATGGAAGGAGGTTTTCACTCAAAATCTCACGATACATGGCCCCATTCATTCTTACCTTTACACGGATCAGTCGTCCTGGTCCCTTTGCAGAAAAACAGCCCCAAAGCATGATGTTTCCACCCCCATGCTTCACAGTAGGTATGGTGTTCTTTGGATGCAACTCAGCATTCTTTGTCCTCCAAACACGACGAGTTGAGTTTTTACCAAAAAGTTCTATTTTGGTTTCATCTGACCATATGACATTCTCCCAATCCTCTTCTGGATCATCCAAATGCACTCTAGCAAACTTCAGACGGGCCTGGAAATGCACTGGCTTAAGCAGGGGGACACGTCTGGCACTGCAGGATTTGAGTCCCTGGCGGCGTAGTGTGTTACTGATGGTAGGCTTTGTTACTTTGGTCCCAGCTCTCTGCAGGTCATTCACTAGGTCCCCCCGTGTGGTTCTGGGATTTTTGCTCACCGTTCTTGTGATCATTTTGACCCCACGGGGTGAGATCTTGCGTGGAGCCCCAGATCGAGGGAGATTATCAGTGGTCTTGTATGTCTTCCATTTCCTAATAATTGCTCCCACAGTTGATTTCTTCAAACCAATCTGCTTACCTATTGCAGATTCAGTCTTCCCAGCCTGGTGCAGGTCTACAATTCTGTTTCTGGTGTCCTTTGACAGCTCTTTGGTCTTGGCCATAGTGGAGTTTGGAGTGTGACTGTTTGAGGTTGTGGACAGGTGTCTTTTATACTGATAACAAGTTCAAACAGGTGCCATTAATACAGGTAACGTGTGGAGGACAGAGGAGCCTCTTAAAGAAGAAGTTACAGGTCTGTGAGAGCCAGAAATCTTGCTTGTTTGTAGGTGACCAAATACTTATTTTCCACCATAATTTGCAAATAAATTCATAAAAAATCCTACAATGTGATTTTCTGGATTTTTTTTCCTCAATTTGTCTGTCATTGTTGACGTGTACCTATGATGAAAATTACAGGCCTCTCTCATCTTTTTAAGTGGGTGTCACGAACACCACCGAGGCTGCTCCTCCTCCTTGCTCGGGCAGGCTTCGGCGTTCGTCGTCCCCGGAGTACTAGCTACTACCGCTTGATGTTCTCGATGTTTGTTTGGTCTTGTCTAAGTTGGTGCACCTGTTTCGTCTTCTGTATTGATTATGTCACCTATAAGTTTCCCTTTGGTTTTGTTTGCAGTTGTGTGTTATTGTCCGCCTGTCGTTTGTCCAGGTTCGGTATTTTGTGTGGTAGTGTATTTTTACGCATTGCGCGTAGTCGTTCACCTCCTGTGTGTTCGAGGCCATTTATTTTTGTATCTTGTTTCATGAGTCTCAGTAAAGTCGTTTTGACTTATCCTCTGTGTCCTGCGCCTGACTTCACCACCGCATCCACTATTATACCGTGACAGAATAACACACCATTACTATGGAGTCAGCAGGAGCAGCGGCGGGGACCGAGTCGCTGGAGGATCGGGTCAGCTGCCAGGACGCCAGGATCCAGCAACTCGGATCCGCCATTCAAGAAGTTATGAACACCCTGCGCCGATGGGAGAGAGGAGGCATGCCCACACCTCCTCCTACCTTACCACCACCATCGGCCAGCCCCACCATCCCAGCTCCGGAGTCCAGTGGGATTCGGCTCTCGCTCCCGAGGACATATGATGGCACCGCAGCCGGGTGTCAGGGGTTCCTCCTTCAAGTGGAACTCTACCTGGCAACCATACACCCGGCGCCCTCGGGATACGAGAGCGTTTCCGCCCTCATCTCCTGTCTCTCCGGCAAGGCGTTGGAGTGGGCCAATGCCGAATGGAGGGGAATAGACGCCGCCACCATCAGCTACGCGGAGTTCTCCCGCCGCTTCAGGGCTGTTTTCGATCATCCCCCTGAGGGTAAAGCGGCGGGGGAGTGTCTGTTCCACCTTTGACAGGGGAAGAGGAGCGCACAGGAGTTCGCCCTGGACTTCCGGACTCTAGCGGCGGATGCGGGGTGGAATGAGAGGGCCCTCATCGATCACTATCGGTGCAGCCTACGTGAGGACGTTCGACGAGAGTTGGCCTGCAGGAACACCAATCTAACATTCGACCAGTTGGTGGACATGTCCATCCGTCTGGATACCCTGCTGGCCACCCGCGGACGTCCAGAGTTGGGGCCGTCCATTCCATCTCCCAGCACCTCCGAGCCGAGCCCTATGGAGCTCGGGGGTGCTGGCGCTAGAGAGAGGAGGAGGGAGAGCCCGAGAAGGGGCCGTCCCCTGCACCAACTGTGGCCGTGGAGGACACACTGCGGCTAGGTGCTGGGGAGGGTCTCCAGGGATTCGAGGCAACAGGTCGCGCACTGGGGAGTCATTCCAGGTGAGTAGGCACCCAACTCACCCAGAGCTCTCTGTT